GCCTTTCATGAAAGCATACTAGAAATATGCACACTTTGCTACTTGGGGTGAATGGTTAGCAAGCTGATGGTCTGTGAGATACTGAGTACTGTAGATTCTTTTGTGTTTTCAGCCTGAGCCCTGGCAGATGTGAAAATAGTAATATCATTCTGGTGTCAGTAGTGCTACATTGATAGCTGCAATGAAGTGACAGACAATTACATTAGATGACTGATGGAGATGCCTGGCACCCAATCTCCTGTGTGACAGTCCTCTGCAGCACATGCCTAATAACACTAACTCAGAAAAATAAAACCAAAGGAACTGCCGATGTTGTAAATCAGAAACAAAAGCAGAAATTTCAGAAAAAGCTCGAGTGACCCTTCCTCAGAACTGATTTCGCTCCACAGATGCTGCCAGACGTACTGAGCTTTTCCAGCAATTTCTGTTTTTGTAATGCTAATCCACGCTTTGAGGGGCATGATGTATTTAGTAGACAATGTTATATACCCAGGCAGGGCACAGCAAATCATTCATCTTGTGCAACTGGAGCCAGTTCTCTTTGAGCTGCCCACCTCCGTCTGGGCTAACTTTGTCAGTCATGTGGCCTCTTGTTGTCATTCACAGGAAAAAACAGCTCCCCTTCTTGCCTGGACAACCTTTAGCTCTTTTAAAATTGTTCATTCATGGGAAGTGGACATCATCTAATGCCCATACCTCATTGCCTCTGAGGTGGTGGTGACAAGCTGCCTTCTTAAATCACTGCAGTCCACAATGCTGTTAGGGAGAGTGTTACAAGATTTTGACCTAGAGACACAAGATTAGGGAGCCTAGGTCAATGCCAGGCAGTTCATCCAGTTTCATTCCTTTCCCTGGAGACTTTTTAGCACCTGTCATAACTGAGTGGCTTGTTAGACCAATTAAGAGGGCAGTTAAAACTTAACTGCATTGCTATTGGTCTAAGGCCACATGAAGACCAGACCAGGTAAGGACAGGAGATTTCCTTCTCTAAAGGACATTAGTGAACCAGATGGGTCTTTATGACAATTAACAATTGTTTCCTGATCATCACTCAACTTTTAATTCCATTATTTAGAATCATAGAATCCCTACAGTGTGGAAACAGGCCATGCGGCCCAACAAATCCACACTGTCCCTCTGAAGGGCATGCCTTTTGTCATTTATATAAATGATTTGGATGTAAATATAGGAGGTATGGTTAGTAAATTTACTGGATTGAAATTCTACCATTGGCCATAGCGTGATCTGAACACTGGTCCCCAGCTCACTTCCTGAGACTCTAGATTTTGAGTCTACTGATTATCCACAGGTGGAACCGTGTAAAATGTTGCTAAGGCCACAACTACAGTATTATGTGCAGTCCTGTAGTCTACATTATAAGAGGGATGTGATAGCACTAGAAAGAGTGTAGAGGAGATTTACTAGGGTGTTGCCTGGGCTGATGGGTTTTAGGTATGAAGAGAGACTGGAGTATAGAAGACTGCAGGGGGAACATGATTGAGATGTATAAAATTTTGAGGGGAATAAACAGCGTAGATCGGAAAGACTGTCCCCTGGTAGGGGGATCACTGACAAAGGAGCTTAGATTTAAATGAAAGGGGCAGGACTTGGGAGGGGATGTGAGGGAAAATGTTTTTATCCAGAGGATGGCAGAAATCTGAAACTCACTGCCTGAAAAGGTGGTAGAGGCAGAACCCTACACAACATTTAAGAAGCGCTTAGATGTGGATTTGAGATACCAATGCATACAAGGTTGTGGGCCAAGTGCTGGAAAATGGGATTAGAATAATTTGGTGGTTGCTTTTGACTCAAAAGCCATTCTCTGTGACTGTAAACCTCTTTGACTCAATGAATACCAATACGCCATTACTTCCGTCTCTAGGAAGACATTGCTGAAGTGTGGTGATGTTTTTGGCCTGGTCTCTGACATTTCTGGGGGTGACTGGGGTTAATGACCAAAAGGTTGAGTTGCTCCTGGGAGCAGAGTATGAATGCCTTTTAAATATCGTGCTGACATGTTGAAGCCTGGACAGTCCTGACAGGGACAAGGGGCAGGGCAGCAGAACCTAGCCATAAAATTTGACGTTTTACCCAAGCATATGCAATGAGTTGAGAAAATACAAACTGAGCAAGAAAATCTGAATCACTTCCCTCACCCCAAAAAGCAGAAGCCCCTTCCACTTTTATGCCCACCTCCACACTTAACCTCAAAAGGAAGAAAATTCTGACCAAATTCTTTAATTTGGAGCTGTTCTGAGGTCAGATTAGAGGCAACTTACAAATCTGAACTGAGCAGGTCAACTGCTCATTAACATTCCAATTCAATGCTAACTTCAATGACAACGCAGTCTTTGCTTTCTTCTTCTTGGGACAGTAACCAAGGTAAAGTGGTAGAAATGAGCAATAAGGTATATAAAGGAGTGAGAAGGAAGTAATCCCATAGGGCTACAAGGAATACAACAACAGGTTCAGACTGAATGTATGCTAACATACAAAGGGTAATGAATCAGATTGGGAAGTTACAAGCACAGATATGGGAATACGATATCTTGGCAATAATGGTATTAAAAATGGTGAGGACTTGGCACATAATTTTCAACTATAAAGTGTTCAGAATGGATAGGATAGGGAAGAGAAGAGAAGGGTGGTGGGATGTCAGTACAGATTAGAACTGTTGGGCAGAAAGTATGTCCTTGAAGGTTGGATTAGAGTTGCAAAATAAAAACGGAAATGATCACATCATCAGGAATGTTCAATAAACCTTTAAATAGTAAGGGAGCCAACGAGAGAGAGAGATATACAGAGGAACAAACCTGCAAGGAAATCACAGATGCACAACTATGTTGTTGATATATTGGCGGCGACAATGGGAGATGTTAATCATCTATATTACAGAAAAAGTAAATAATAGGAGGGATTTCTGAAGCGCTCAGGAGAATATCCTTGATCACTATGTTCTCAGCCCAATCAAAAAAAAAGGTAATGCTGCATCTGATACAGGGAATGAGGTGGGCCAAGTGAACTCATTATCTGTGGGAAAACACTTGAATAGACATGAAAAAGACAAAAGATTTAAATTAGTAATGGAGAATGGCAAACAGGAATCTAAAATAGAACACGTAATAAGGAATAAGGCTATTTTAAATGGGATTTGAAGAAGCCAATCCAGGGTAAAACGGTATCAAAGACTGATGACAGAAGTGGAATAGCACAGTGAAGCAAAGGGATGTTTCAAATGCCAGCCAGATACACTCCAATAAAGACAACATACAAGGGAACCAAAACCAGGCACCTTGGAGACAGAGAATATGATGAAACAAGAATCAAGGGTTCACTTTCATGTCAAGTGAATTCTTAAAGTGAATTCCTGTTTGCCATTCTCCATTACTAATTTAAATCTTTTGTCTTTTTCATATCTATTCAAGTGTTTTCCCACAGATAATGAGTTCACTTGGCCCACCTCATTCCCTGTATCAGATGCAGCATTACTTTTTTTTTGATTGGGCTGAGAACATAGTGATCAAGGATATTCTCCTGAGCACTTCAGAAATCCCTCCCATTGCTTACTCTTTCTCTAATATAGATGATTAACATCTCCCATTGAAGTCTTCAAGTGAAAACCAGGCGAAATGCACTAAGCAAAGACAAAATATGGGAATAGAAAGCAGTTAATATAAAACGTACTGGCCAAGAGATAATATGGAAATAGAATCACAGTTAACATTAAAGAGATTCCAAAAATTTTCTACTAGCATATAAATAGGTGTATAGTGGAAGATGAGGTGATCTTATTAGCAACAAGAGGGCAATATATACACCGAAGTGCAAGGCAAGATGAGAATTTCTTGCAAGTACTTTGTATAGATGCTTAGCTGGAAAGGGATGCTAACAAAATGCGAGAAGGAGCAAAGACGGCAGAGGTATAGATGGGGTGAAAACTGATAGGCAGGATATACCAGAAAGGTTGCCTCTGCTTTGAGTGGATGAGTCACCTGGTCCAGATGGCTTATATCTCAGGCATTTAAAGGAAGGAAGATTGGAAGGGGCTTACCACAATCTTCTTTGGATACAGAAAAGTGCCAGAGGAAGGGAGAGCGAAAATTATGCTTACCCTCACTCAAGAAAGAATGACAGATCAGAACAAAACCAAACAACAAAAATGTTGGAATCTGAAACAAAAAAGCAGAAAATGCTAAGAATCTTCAGGTCAGACAGCATCTGTGGAAAGATGTAGCTAATGTTTCAGGCTGGGATTTGTTATCAACACAATTTGACATTGATGCCTAAGGATACAGTGAGAAATAACTTGGTAAAACCCCTGGTTAACAAAGGCCAACAACTTAAAGTTAACATCTTTGCAAAGACCTGATTTAAGTCTAAACTCCATCGACAGCAATTAAATAAGACACTTGGATTTTACCTTATTTCTTGGAATTGAAGACTTAGAAAATACTTCAAACAGTTCAAATCTGCTCAAGAGAAACATTAAGAACCGATTTGGATCCATGATCGAGGCTGCAATCTGTAATACAAAGGTGATTTAAATGTCTGTGCCTAGGTGAGTAACTATGAAGCTTCAGAAGGGGAGCAGATTATAGTTGCAAATTGCACACAAAAGTCTAGAGCTATGTGACAGCAGTAATATGTTTTCACAAAAACACTGACAAATAATTCTAGATTCAGTTCATGAATTAGCAGAAGTCCAGCAGTTGATAAGAATACTGGCACTTGTGGAATTCCATTCCACAAAGCTTAAAATCCAAGTACTATGACAACACCCTTCTGACAATCAGATGGACAACAGTTGCACTTGTTCAATGATGCAAAAGCAGAGGCTTAACGACACTCTTAGCCTACATCACTTTAAATAAATATAACGCAATCTCAAATCATTCCTCATCCAACTCTATAAAAGCCAACTTGTCAAAAAGTTTATTTTAAACATCAGTTTTGAAGACAATATAGAGAAATGACATAGGTTCAATCATGCTTGCATCCTTTAAACAATTAGATAGTTACAAAGGCCCAGTGACATACTTATGAATATCCACTTCAGTTAACACTCTCGCAGAATTAAAACATTTTACAGAATTGTGTCTGTCCATTCAGGTCACAAAGTTGGATAGCATGTTAACTGTGAACTGTTTTGTTTTTCATCCTATTCTTAGATTATTGTTCACCAATATATCATGGATTATGCACAATGAGAAATTTTAAACAAAGCAATTTGATTTAAAAAAATTAAAAATAACCTGTTTGCAATACACGACCAAACATTGGACAGCAAATCTCCTCAATTCACAGCATGTAACCAACATTCTCAATTAAGATTTACATAAACTTGGTTTGTCTTTGAAATCTAATTCTAAATGTAATAGTAGGAAACAGAGGTAAGGTGAAGTGCACATTACTTATTGAGCTTACACCTAGACTAAAATGAAACACAATGAATCTTGAAACACAACAGCTTCTGTTGAGAATCCCCAGTAAAGAAAGCAGTTCCAATGCAACTGCTCATATTGTTACTCAAAAACTAAGTAGGATTGGTTTCATGCAAGAAAATCTTATGAAATCAAGATCATTCTTCAGAGAAACTGGTTGTGTGATTAAAACAGTAAAATTGTTAAGTATATTCAAATAGTTTTTCAAAACTAACTCAACATCCCTGTGCAGGTCCCTGACCTTTAGAAGCCAAGATGTTGCGAGAGAGATGTTACAATTGAAACGCACTGACTGAAAGGTTAGTCAAAGATTTAACAAGAACCTTTGTAAGGGAAGTGGGTAAATACTTCAAAAGTGAACAAACTGCAAGGGTATGGGAAAAGGGGCTAATTGGATAATTCTTTCCAAGAGCTGACACATGCGCGATGGATTATGTGGGCCTCCTTCTGCGCTGTGATCTATTCTGCATCACTTCAACACCATTCATTCAGGAGACAAATTGACCCTTTTTCTGTGGTCAAATGCTCTAGTGCCAATCATCCTATCTTCAGCCAATACAACAAGATAATTGAGTTTGAGATATCCCTGGTACCAAGCCCCGTAGTTGTATTTCTGAAATGAAACATTAAGGTGCATCAAAATGGTGCGTTTGCTCAACTTGGCAACTACTTTTAAACAAATGTGAATTTTCTTGACCACGTTTTAGACATGACAATCATACCTGCAACATGATTATGTCTTTGTCAAACATCTCTTCCCTCAATTTTACATTTCGGTACCAAAACACCTCAAGAAGAAAAAGAAAATCATGGTTACAACCTTTGTCAATTCTAGTAAATATTTAAACAGCAAGAAATCAGCCATGGATTGGAATTATGGGTAAAAGATCAAAAAACAAGGCATCTTTATGAATGACTCATGGAGTACTTTGACGTCAATTTATTAACGGATTAACCTTGCCCTACAAAATAACTAAAACTCAAATATTAATTTAAACTGTATTTATCGCATGCCATTTTGATCTAGGTAAGTCTATGGATCCATTCTGTTCTGAACCCACAAAAGAGAGAGCACAGTGGCTCAGTGGTTAGCACTGCTGCCTCACAGCACCAGGGCCCATGTTCGATTCCAGCCTCAAGGGACTGTGTGTGGAGTTGGCACATTCTCCCAGTGTCTGCATGGGTTTCTTCCAGGTGCTCTGTTTTCTCCCATAGTCCAAAAATATGCAGGTGAGGTTGACTGGCCGTGCTAAATTGCCCACAATATCCAGGGATGTGCAGGCTGAGTGGGTTAGACATGGAAAACGCACGGTTACAAGGATAGGGTACGGGATGGGCCTGGGCCTGTGTAGAATACTCTCCAGAGGGTTGGTGTGAACTCAATGGGCTAAGTGGCCTGCTTCCACAATATAGGGATTCTGTGTCCCATGGTGAACAACTGAGAAACCTAAATGTTTCAAACAGTCTTGAACCTTTGACTAATGAAGTATCAAAACCAGGAGCATTTGCTTTTGCCCAATCAATCATGAGAATGAGGATCATATTATTATGGCTATTTGACTAGAACCAAATCAAATTAATAAAAGTTGGTCCACAGCCTTCCAAAATAACTTGTGAGCAGCACCCCAAGGACCTAACTTTCTTATTTTAAGCAAGCAATTATTTTTATTTTAACATTAATGCAGCAAACTAGCCTAAGGCACTTCACAGGACCCTTAAAAAAAATAAAGTTTGTCACCAAGGCGCTTTTTAAAAACAAAAATCATTCATGAAATGATGCCCAAACACAACTGTTCTTGAGAAAGTGGTGAAAGGTTCCTTCTTGAAGAGAAATGAATGGTTTACTAGATCATTTCAGAGGGCATTTTGGAGTCAACTACATTGCTGTGGATCTGGAGCAATAAATTGAACAGGCCAGGTAAGGTCGGAGGATTTCCTTCCCTAAAGGACATTAGTAACACAGAAGAATTTTTATAACAAAACATTATTTTGTACATTTTCTTTTAAACTGAAGATGCATTTACTCAGTTGAATGTAAAGTTCCCAGCTACCATGGTGGGATTTGAACTCTCATCTCTGGCTCAATCCAATAATAACCATTATGCCATCATGCTCTAAATGGGGAGGGAGTTATTAGGGGAGATGTCCTGAAGCTTGGTCGAAGAGTTAACTTAAACAAGGAGAGAGATGCAGAGGTTTAGGATGAACATTTTGGAACTGAAGGAAAGGCTAATTTGTCATGAACTTTACAAGACAGTTATGTTTTGAAATGCATCTTTAACTGAAAGTAAAATAGAAAATTACAGATTAACAACGCAGCACTGAATCATGTGACCTGTCATTAGTAAGGAACCTCAAACAGGAAACGACTGAAATGCCTTTGGAAGATATACCAATGAGGAAATTTGTAATTACCTTAAAACGTTTGGGGAATCTAAATTTTGGGAAACATTTGAGAAGGACTTTTGAGACTGCATCATCTGTAAGAAACAACTGTAGGTTTTGAAAAAGAATTACTGACCCATGTGAGTATGCAATGCTGGGCATCAGGAAACTACCAACAGGAAAGAAGTTAAAACACAAAGGTTACAGGGATTCCTTGGAGAGAAGGGTAAAAGAAAATGAAAGACATTTTCAAAATAATGAGCAGTCAGGACAAAGGGGGATAGGAGAAACTGCTTCCACTCTAAATGGATTAAAAACCAAAAGGACATAGTTTTTAAAAGTGTTTTGCTAAAGAAGCAAATGCAAGGTGAGGGTGGGTGTAGGGGGTTGGGTGTGGGCGTTAAAAAAACCTTTTCACAGAGTGAGTAGTTAGGAATGCACTGTCTGGAAGTGTGATAGATCAATTAAGGCATTCAAGAGGGCATTGGATGATTATTTAAATCAAAATAATATTCAGGGTTATGGGAAAATGGCAGGACATTGGCGACAAATTAAAATGTTCAGTAAGCCAGTGCAGACAAAATGGGCCAAATGACCTCCTTCAGAAATCACAGAATTGTTATGATGCCAAGACCAGCCAGACATCTGTTGGAATAGTCAATTCTAAAAATGTAAAGCAGGGATAAGGGTTCAGCAGTATGTGAGCTGAGACAGGGACAGAGGCATACAACGTTAGAGGTGGAAAACTGTTTTAGTGATGGTGTGGATGTGTGATTGAAAGGTCACTTCAGGCTTCAGCATCTCTCTTCAGTTAATATCAACAGAAGGAAACTAGAGTTTTAAAGAAGTTGAATATGGTGAGTACTGGAAATATGAAATAAAACCAGAATACACCAAAAGGAAGTCAAACAGCACCACTGGAATGGAAGTTAGGAGTAATCATGCTAGCTCTGATAACTTTTCATCAGAACAAATCCTTTACCTTTGTATTCATGATGTTTCGCAAATACTTTTCAACTTAGAACAGATTTCACTCAAGTAAATATAAAGTGGCTCATAAAATCATAAGATCATGAGGAGAATCAAGTATTTTGAGGAAGTATCCAAGGAAGTTGATGAGGGCAGAGCGGTAGATGATGTTACTTGGACTTTAGTAAAGCCTTGGACAAGCTTCCGCATGGTAGACTAATGAGTAAAATTAGCTCATAGTTTGCTCATTGAGTAGAAAATTGACTTAATGGGAGGAGACAAAGTGGTGGTAGAAATTAGAACAGTGCTGATGTTGAGGTGCCAAAATTGGATCGGGGCGGACAAAATCACAAGTCATACGACACCAGGTTATAGTCCAACAGGTTTATTTGAAATCACAAGCTTTCGGAGCGTAGGCCCTTCACCTGACCTCTGACAGAAACTGTACAGCACAGGAATGGGCCCTTTGGCCCACGATGTTGTGCTGAACATGACGCCAAATTAAACTAACCCCTTGGGCCATATCCCTCCATTCCTTGCATATTAATATGCTTATCTAAAAGTCCCTTAAACACCCCTATTGTATCTGCCTCCACCACCACTTCTGGCAGGACATTCCAGACTCCTACCACACTGTGTAGGCAACTTGCCCCTCACGTTTCCTTTGAACTTTCTCCCTCTCACCTTTCAACTCTGGGGGGATAAAGATTCTGATTGTCAACCCTACCTATGCATCTCAATTTTATAGACTTCCAGCAAGTGTCCCCTCAGCCTCCGCCGCTCCAGAGAAAACAACCCAGTTTTTCTAGCCTCTCCTTATAACTCATACTCTCTAAACCAGGCAGCATCCTGATAAACCTCTGCTGCACCCTCTCCAAAGCCTCAACTATCCTTCCTGTAATATAGCAATCAGAATTAAACACAATACTCTAAGTGCGACCTAACCAAAGTCTGATAAAGCTGCAACATGACAATCTGATAAAAACTGAAAGAACTGCGGAACAAAAACATAAGTCACTGGAAAGCTCAGCAGGTCTGGCAGCATCTGTGAAGAAAAGATCAGAGTTAACTTTTCAGGTCTGGTAACCCGTTCTCGGGAGGGTCACCAGACCTGAAAAGTTAACTCTGATCTTTTCTTCACAGATACTGCCAGACCTGGTGAGCTTTTCCAGCAACTTATGTTTTTGTACTTGACAACTTGACTCTTGTACTCAATTCCCTGACCAATAAAGGCAAACATGCCA